GGACAGGGAGCCTTCTTCACCAGGGTTTTGTATCCACTCCTGGTTTACTTCCCAGAGTCCTTCCCTGCTGAGCTGCTGACCTTCACTTTCTTCCAGGCATCATGGGGCAGACCACCGTCACCCAGAAAGAAGGACAAGTCACAGTGAAGCAGAGACACACCTTCCAGACAAACTGCACATACCAGACCTCGTACTTTCAGGGCTTGCTCTGGTACCAGCAGAGGAAAGGCCAAGCTCCCCAGCTGGTCTCGTATCAGGCAGCAGCTGGCTCCAAGCGGAACGGCCGTATCACCACGTTCCTGAACACCACCGGGAAATACAGCCTCCTGCAGCTGGAGGAAGTCGAGGTCTCTGACAGTGCCTTGTACCTCTGTGCTGTGCAAGACACCCTGGTGCAGGGAGCTTCCTTGGCTGTGCAACAACCCAGGGGAGGGAGGGGATGTGTCTGTGGTGCAAGGTTGAGTTTGGGGGAAGGGGCCCTCAGCTCTCCCCTGGCAGTGCTGCTTCTGCGTGCACCCAGAGCTCTGCAGGCCATGATCCTGTGATGTAATGGTTTCTGTCCATTCCAGACATCAATTTATGCAGACATGGTCTTAAATATTCCCATACCACACTAAATGAAGGCAATGTCTTCTTATTGCCAATGCATGGGAAGCTCCACTCTCTGGTGAAGTGCAAGAGCACACACATGAGCCATTGCATTTACTTATTAACAATCTGTTCATCTTGACCACTCTTAATAACTGCAGGCACACCCATCCTCTCTGAGAGCAACTGCGTTTGTCTTGTCTCGAGATGGTTCCACTCTGTTATTTCCCTTTTGAACTTCAGCCATGGCAGTTGATGTAAAGAGATGCTGTACCTTTTCTTCTCCTATCTACTGCTATGACAATAAACCAAAACAAATGCAGACAATGAAAAGCTCGACCCAGGCAGCTCCCAGCATGGGGCATCCACGGGCCCTCATTTCCCTGTGCTCTCTGAGGAGACAGCACCAACCTCAGCCTCACAGCAGCAGGTGTCTCATCTACCCCATCGGATCATTGCCCCAGTTTGTCACTGGTGGCATTAGACGTTCCAGTGGGAGCTGGTCTTTTCGTCCTGCTCATCTGGCATTATGAACTGGCACGTTTGGTAGCAAGTGTCCTGTGTCTGCTCAGTCACAAATGATCAAACTGTGCCTGGAGCACTGCTCTCTTCCCCTAAATGGTTCTCCTGTCCTTTAATCCCTGGGCACAGAGGTGGCTCCTCAAGGGCAACATCTGCATGAACGGCAGCTGCTGCAGAAACTCCCCATGCAGGGACAGGCACTGTCCCTCACTCTGCTGGGTGGGGGGACACCCCTCACAGCCCTCTGCTTTACAGCCAGCCCCTCTCTGAGCTTCACGTAGCCACATGTGTGACTTCCCAAGGCCTGTGCTAGCCAGGGCCCCAGACCCTGCCCCCTGGGCAAGCACAAGTCCTACCCTAGCACAGCAGCAGAGTCCAGAGAACAGCTGCACTGCCATTGACCAACAGGAACAAATTCTACGCCAGCTTTGGAAAGTGTCAATGCTGTTCAAAGAATCTGTAACATTGTGTGCCCTTGGCATGTGACCATCATCGTCCCCTTGGGAGCTGCATGCCTCAGTCCCCGAGAAGGAAATGCCAGGCAGCCGGTGACCTGAGCCCATAGCAGGAGCCTGTGAGTTTTTAAATTTCAGGTGCAAGCGGGTAGGCTAGATGAAGAAAACAAGAGCAGGGAGGCAGGAGTGAGGATGACCCCAGCCCAGGTCAGGCAGTGCCCACCCTAGCAGGGTGCATGGGTGCAGGTGCTCGTGGGTGACTTTTACAACCTCAGTGTCTGCTGCAGGAGGAAAATGTCTGGGCACAAGCAAACCAGGACATGTCTGGGGCATATGGAAGACAAATTTTTGATGCAGGCAATCCATGAAGGGACTAAGGGAGAGGCTCTGTTGCACCTGCTTCTCACAAATGAGGAAGAACTGTTGGATGGTATAACGTTCAAGGGCAGCCTTGCCTGCAGTGACCATGAGACTGTGGACCTTAGATCCTCAGAGGACTGACCAAGACAAACAGGATGACCACTGCCCCTAATTTCAGAAGAGCGCATCTTAATCCCATCAGGGACCTACCTGCTTGGCAGCATGCCATGGGAAACTGCCCTGGAGCGCAGAAGTTCCCAGAAGAGCTGGCTAACCTTCAGGGACAGGCTGACTAAGCTGGCTAACCTCCTCAGAGCACAAGGATGGTCCTCTGCAATGTGGATAACAAAGCGCAGCTGGAGTGGAGAATTGCAAGGGGGGTGAAGGAAATCAAGAAAGATGTCTCTGAGCCTATTGGCAGCAAAAGGAAGGCTAAGTAGATGTGGGCTCATTGCTTAGTGAGGAAGGGGACCTGATGACAAATGACATGTACTGAATGCCTGTTTGTCCTCAGTTTTTACTGGCATGGCTTCTCCTCAGGCCTACCACATCCCTGAGCCTCCCCATACACTCCCTGGAATGAAGCAGCACCCACAGTAGTAGAAGAAAGAACTAAAGAGCTCTTACTACCATTCGGAAAGACACAAGTTCATGGTAAAATTTGGGATGCATCCAAGGGTGTTCAAGGAGCTGACTGGACAGTCTCTACTCAGTCCCTGGAAGGAAAATGGAAGCCTCTTCTAAACTCAAGAAGGACAAGAAGGGGGTTGGGAGCAGCTGACATGGGTCTACTGAGGGCAAATCATGCCTCACCAACCTCCTTGCTTTCCATGAGGAGGTGACTGGCACTGTGGGGAAGGGGAGGGGCACTGGCTGTGGTGTACCTTGACTGTAGCAAGACCTTTGACATACCCTCATGGGTGCACACACACGCACACCTATACGCACACAGAGGTATGCACGCTCAGAGGCATGCGTGCACACTCATGTACAGACAGGTACACACGTAAAAGCACATATCCACACACATCTATGCTCACACACTTACATATATGCAGACCAACGTCACTCCCATCCATGCTCACCTGCATGAAGGCACGTGCGTGTGCTAAAACACATACACGCTCATGAACCAGTGCGACCAAAGACACACACACCTCCCCAACATTTGTGCACACTCACGCTTGCATGTGCATTACCTCAGGCACGCACGTGTGCACACACACAGACACACGTATGTGCAAATGCGCACATGAGCACAGCCAGAGGAACATGTATGTGAGCATGTACACGTGCACACACCACTGAGAACCAAGGTGCCTCCCCGTGTCCCAAGTCTGTGTGTCAGGGACAACGTAAAAACTAGAGACATCCATATTGCTGCAGCCACAAGGAATCCTCACATTACGAAGTGAGAAAATTCTTGCAGCCTTAGATTCTCCCAGCTGTCCTAAGTGACCTCCTTGAGGGGGGGTGTGGGTCTAGCCCCAGCTCTGCAAAGGGAGTGGAACCTCAGCGATGTATTTGCACGCCAGCAGAGTGTGGTGCGCCTGCGACAAGCCAGACTCCCCACAGGCTGCAAACATTGAGGCTGGGGCACCAGAAATGGCACTGACTGATCCCAGGAAGAAAGGCACCCAACCTCTTCAAAGCATTCCTTAAATGGCATTTATTAGCACTAAGACTAAGAAAGAAGGAGGATAGTATAGGAGATCTTACATCCCTTCAGATGCTGGGACCCCTGAGCTGCTCACCATCAGCTGCTCTCACAGAATGAGAGACTCACAGAACACCTGAGGTTGGAAGGGACCTCTGGAGGTCATCTGGGTCGACTCCCCCCTGCTCAAGCAGGGCCACCTAGAGCCAGCTGCCCAGGACTATGCCTAGGTGGATTTTGAGTATGTCTAAGGAAGGAGACTTGGCAACCTCCCTGGGCACCCCATGCCAGTTCTCAGTCACTCCCACAGCACAGTGAAAAACTGTTGCCCCCTTGCCAGATCCCATCTGCAGAAGGGTTACCCCATCTCGGTCAGTCATGCTTTCAGAGCATTTTCGTCAGAAGGAAACAGCTCTAGTCATCATTACTACTGTCAAACACGACAACCCAGCCAGTGTTGCCGGTGAACAAATACCAGCAGCTCTCACATCCATGTTTCTTAGGGTGTAGGTCAAGGGGTTCAGCGGGGGAGTAAGAGCGGTGTGAAAACCAGCCGCTGCTCTGTCAGTAGACGTTTTAAATCACCATAAAATAAAACAACCTCTGGCAACAAGACCTTTAGTTTCAAGTGTAAAACTGGCATGGATCCTCTGCCCTTTTCCAACCCTTCCAGGATCTCCTCAGCTGGGCAGCCAAACCAGGGGTCATGCCAAGAGCCAGCAGCAGCGCTCTGGCAGAGCTTTGGCAAAAGAGCTTACTCGTCTGTCAGAAGAAATGCCATCCCTCCCTCTTCAACAAGGATAATTGCAGATGATATCATCATGAAGAAGGGCCTGAGATACCTTCTGCTAATGACAAGGTTTACTGTGGTAGGGTCAGGAAGACCAACTGCGCTGCTGCAGATGATGGTTATCAACAGCATGGCTAGGGGAAAAAAGATTT